AGTCGAGGTCGTACTTCTTCTCCTCGACCTTGTAGAATTCGCTGGAAGCAACATCCATGGCGATGGAGATCTTGCCAGTGTATCCGGCCTGCTCGATAGCCTCGGTGATCAGGTCGAGAGCCTCCTCGGCGGTCTGAATATCGGGGGCAACACCACCCTCGTCGCCGACGTTGCCAGCAGACTGGCCGTACTTCTTCTTGGCAAGAGCCTTGAGCTTCTGGTAGACCTCGGCACCCTGGCGGAGACCCTCGGAGAAAGAAGAGGCGTTTCTGTGAAAAACAGAGTCAGTCCGAGTTATCCGCGTCGAAGCTCGACTCCGGTTGACTTACTCAGGAACGATCATGAACTCCTGGAAAGCAAGGCGGCCACCGGCATGGGAACCACCGTTGAGGACGTTCTGGAAGGGAACGGGAAGAACGTAGGGCTTCTTGGTACCAGCCAAGTCGGAGATGTGGGCGTAAAGAGGGATACCCTTCTCAGCAGCACCGGCCTTGGCGATGGCCAGACTGACACCGAGAATGGCGTTGGCACCGAGGTTGGACTTGTTGGCAGTACCATCGAGCTTGTTAAGGAACTCGTCAACCTTGGACTGGTCCTTGACATCAAGGTTCTCCTTGATAACAGCGGGGGCAATGGTCTCGTTGACGTTGTTGACGGCCTTCAAGACACCTGATCACGCACGCAGATAATGTGAGCTAAATGCAATCGGGGGTGATGAATTGGAGGTTATCAAACTTACCCTTGCCACCCCACTTGGTCTTGTCACCATCACGGAGCTCGTGAGCCTCGTGCTGGCCTAATCTCGATTGTCAGCTTACCCAACTTGGAGAGAGGCGGAAGGCAGGAATGTTGCTCACCAGTAGAGGCGCCGGAGGGGACAATGGCGCGGTGAAGACCAGTCTCAGTGACAACGTCAACCTCAACGGTGGGGTTACCGCGAGAGTCGTAGACGGAGCGGGCGTGGATCTTGGAGATAGGCATGTTGATGGCTAATGGGGGTGGGGGATGAATCAGTTTTGACTGGAGAAGAAACGGGCAAACAGAGGCCGGGGTCTATATTTATATAAGGGAGACCAAGAAAGGAGAGAGAGGAGGGGGGGGAGGGGGAGCAGGGCAAAAACCCAGTGCTTTGAATTGTTGTTGGGTGTGGGTGACCGACTAGGAAGCGGGGAGAAATCCAAGTGGTTTGTTGTTCACCGAGCACCCAAAATGACTGACGGAGAGGAGGTGGAGAGGTCCGATTGCGATCAATGGATGGGCCAGCCTAACAGCACGGCAGACCGTTGAGGCGTTGACAATCATAGGTACTCGGTAATAATGATCACAACATGATTGAACATGATTGAACATAAGCCCATGGGGAGTGGAGCATGACTCTATTAAAATCCCCCGTGTTTATGGTGATTGGGGTGGCAACCACCACCATGCATGCATTTTGAATGTAGTGGTGGTTGGCGATGGCGGGGTTGAGCTGTCCCAAAACAGAAATATTTATAGGGAGCCTGGAGAACGGAAATGGAGGGGTATGGAAGAGACTCGGGAGGAAGGTGAGGGGAGGGGCGGAGGGGCAAACATGGGGGAATTGAAGATGGAAGAATGAAAAACATGAGATAACATAACTTAATGAATCAAGACTTACCTGAAAACAAGGAGATTAGACCTTTTGAAGTTATGATAATTGACGAGGGAGAGAGAAAGGAAGAGGGAGGTTGTCAAGAGGGAAGAGGAAGAGAGAGGATTCTTGTACTTTTCGTACTTCTTGCAAGCTGAGCTCATAGACCAGACAGGTGCACCGTGCAAATGAAATGATCAATTGCCCCGGGAAAGCTCACCCTCTGATCTCCTTCGTCTCCGAATCTTTCCCATGAAATGGTGGGGCAATCTTGTCTTCCTCCTCTCTTCACTTGTCCTTCTCCAGCGAGATCTTCCGCGTACCCTCGGGGAAATGTAGATAGAGTACTCTGGGCATGCTGAGCAAGTCCTATACCAGCCTCGGAACTAAGTACAGTACAGTACACCCATGCATCAATTCATGCTTAGGCACAGCAGTAGAAGAACTAATGCCTATCCAAGTTACAATGGATCACCATTCAGTTTTCCTCCTCCGCAGCCGCCGGACTGTTCGTATTCCTATCCTCATCATTTGCTTACCTCGACTGCTGGCTGCGACAGGGTCTGGAAACTTCCATTGCGTAATGACGAAAAGGTTGCCCGGGAGCAAACATGCTCTCGTCGATACCTTGATGCCTGATACTCCTACTCTGTTGGGATCTCGGATATTTCATACTGCGGGCCCGGGTTGAGCCGTACAGTAGTTAACATTTACACCTTCAAACCAAGGCGTCAATCGTCTATCACGTGTAGTGCTCGCATTCGCCATCATGCGTGTACTCACGTGACTTGGCTGACCTGGTGTCTCCGGGCTCCGAGCTCCTCGACAAGCTTCCCCGAGCTTGGTAGGCGTGTGAAATCATAGACCGTCAACCATCCATCGCTCAGCCGTTTACCTGCTATCATCATCCCTATATCCGAACGTTCCTTCGATTCTTGGGCGCTTGGAGAATACCGTGAACTCTTCGTTGTCTCCGGTTCACCGTCTCGCCTGACATCATCATGAACAGTAGCAGTGACCCCGAGAGAGACCAGGCGCTCGAGGACTACAAGAGAAGCCTGCTGGAGTTGCGGGAATGGGAGGCCAAACTGAAGTCTCTGCGGATGGGGATCAAGGATTTACAGAGAGAATTCGACATCTCTGAAGAGAACATCAAGGCCCTGCAGAGCGTTGGTCAGATCATTGGGGAGGTGCTGAAACAGCTCGACGAGGAGAGATGTAGGTCTACCTTGGCTCATTGTGTCCTTGAGAAGAGAGACTTGGGACTCGTTGCGAACGTTGCTGGCTATGAATCTGCCGGCCTTTTTCTATACAAGAGCTGACCTCTATAGTCATTGTCAAGGCGTCCTCGGGACCTCGATATGTTGTCGGTTGCCGCTCCAAGGTCGATAAGGCGAAGCTGAAGCAGGGTACCCGGGTTGCCCTGGATATGACTACATTGACGATTATGCGGATGCTGCCCAGAGAGGTCGATCCGTTGGTATACAATATGTCGCTGGAGGACCCGGGTCAGATCAACTTTGCAGGCATCGGTGGTCTAAATGACCAAATCCGTGAGCTACGTGAGGTGATCGAATTGCCGTTGAAGAACCCCGAACTGTTCCAACGAGTGGGTATCAAGCCGCCCAAGGGTGTCTTGCTCTACGGTCCCCCAGGTACGGGTAAGACGCTCCTGGCACGAGCTGTCGCAAGCTCAATGGAAACCAACTTCTTGAAAGGTATGCATATCAAAGACATGGGGATCGTCGCGCCTGCTAATGCTCTCCTTACCCAGTGGTGTCATCTGCTATTGTCGATAAGTATATTGGTGAATCCGCACGGCTGATACGAGAGATGTTCGGATACGCCAAGGAGCACGAGCCCTGCATCATTTTCATGGACGAAATCGACGCCATCGGAGGACGACGTTTCTCTGAGGGTACCTCCGCGGATCGAGAAATTCAACGAACATTGATGGAGCTGCTCAATCAGCTGGACGGCTTTGATTATTTGGGCAAGACTAAGATCATCATGGCCACGAATCGGCCGGACACCCTAGACCCAGCTCTATTGCGTGCTGGCCGTCTGGACCGGAAGATCGAGATCCCCTTGCCCAATGAGGTTGGTCGTCTCGAGATCCTGAAGATCCACTCTAGCACTGTCAAGATGGACGGGGAGATCGATTTCGAGAGCGTGGTGAAGATGAGTGACGGCCTCAATGGTGCCGATCTTCGCAACGTTGTCACCGAAGCGTAAGTGGCTATCCCAGCTTATTACTTTGCTCGAATCAATGCAGTGATCTCCAGACTGACTGTGATCTAGTGGTCTATTTGCAATCAAGGACTACCGCGATGCGATTAATCAGGATGATTTCAACCGGGCTGTGCGGAAGGTGGCTGAGGCGAAGAAGCTGGAGGGCAAGCTTGAATACCAGAAGTTGTAAATTCATTTCGAGGCATGGTTTTACGTCGGACTTAGCCGTCATGTTTTAGAATCCTGTTTAAATTCACTACACGGTCCGCCGACATTGATTCTGGATAATGTAACTCTAGATCAAATATCTTCTTCGCACTCAGAATCTTAATGGGATACGCGGTTTAGTGTGTGTATCCTACTCGACTTTGGTGGAGTGATATGGAATAAGTTACTAGTAGCTCCACATAGTCCGGAACACAGACCCTGGAATGGAACCCTGGCTGGGGAAAAGAGATGTCCAGTACAAATGTCATCGAGATGATGCTGTACAGTGTACAGATAACTTTACTTACTATGAGGTCTTACTACTCCATAGCTGGAGCAGCATGGGGAATGAACGCCAAGGCGGACTGAGGCCCCGAAATACTCATACGTTGCTTGATTACGAGTGACTTTACGGAGTACTCATAATACGTACCCTGACCGAACCGGGAAGGGGGGGGGGGAGGGGAGGAAGGGGGGGATCTGCATCCTTGACCCGAAAGTCGGAGACGTTACACGCGTCCAGGCCATCCTCACCATTAATTACTTTAATTTATTAAGTTCACGTTGATATAACCGTTTCAGTTTCAGCCTACCCGACACATCTGGACACTTGTTCTTCACCTGATTGCTTGATATGGTAGACGAAATCTAACCACCTCTCTATTCAATTATTGACCCTCACTTTCTTTCTCTCTCTCTCTCTCTCTTTCTCTATCCCACCTCTGCTCGATCAAATTGGACTAAACTATTTACCGATATTGGTCAATCGTCACGGACCCTCTCCCCCGTGTAGCACGGGTGGAATTCTTGGTTGGTTGGTAAACTGTCTCATTCTTGCTTCCTCTTCATGAGCCCACAACCTGTTATCTATAATACATATCATTGTCTCGTGCTTCAAGCATCTTGCTGACTGGTACATGTGCACTTGTTGCATGTGCTCACTGTCTAGAGCTTCCAAGCACTTTACCAATCGACTCGGTTGCCTGCCTTGCTAGCCCATTGCCATCTCTTCATTCATCTGGAGCATAGCGAACAAAACACACTGTAACCAGCTGTGACGATATTGAATCATTGTTTCGGATCAAACAGACTCAGACCGTGGGGTAGTGTTTATTATTACCACATTTCAGGCTCGGGTAGAGAGAGAAAGAGAGGACAGATATAGTATTTTAGTAGCAAAGGCCTTGGCGGGTCGGTAATGGTCATGGCTTTTCAGGCCCCGCGGAGCAATCCCTCTTTTCCCTCCCAACAACCATTCGAGAACAATCACTGGCGTGCGAGTCGAAGTCCCGGGTCTAATGGGTTGCCTGGGTATGGGTTTTCTCCGTCTGCGACCACTACCATCAACCTGAACACTCCGATCGCCGGCGATCGCACCCTCCCGATGTATAAAGACAAGCCGTATTTCGCCCCGCGGCGCACAGGGCCCCGGGCGCGGCGAAGGAAGACCATATACGGTGGATTGTGCCTGTTGGCGCTTTTTCTATGGTGGTACTACTCGGGTTCATCAACCCGGTCGCAGTCGAAGATCCACCATGACACTCCCGACCCGGCGAAGGGCGAAGAGCTTTGGAAATGGCTGCAGACCCTCGACGACTCCGAACCAACATATGATGGGCACAGCGCAGCTTCAAAGCACATTGATTGGGACACGAGGCGGGAAAGGGTTCGCGACGCGTTCATTGTCAGCTGGGATGGTTATGAGAGCAATGCCTGGGGTAAGTTCTACAGGGCTCACGAAACCTACCTGCTCCGTCCTGCTAACGTGGTATCCCTGGGGTGGTTGTTTCTGCTGAGCAGGTTACGACGAGTATCACCCAATTTCAAAGGATGGCCGGCATATGGTCGCCGGGGGTATGGGGTGGATAATTGTGGATGCGCTGGACACGTTGATGATTATGAATTTGACATCACGGGTGCAGCACGCCCGCAGCTGGATCCACAACTCACTGCAGTATAATCAAAACCATGATGTGAACACCTTCGAAACCACCATTCGCATGCTCGGTGGCCTGCTATCCGCCCATTATCTCTCGACTACTTACCCGGATCTTGCCCCCATTAACGACGACGATGCAGGAGCACCGGGAGAGGATCTGTATATCGAGAAAGCGACCGATCTGGCCGACCGGCTCTTGGGCGCTTTTGAATCTACCACGGGCATCCCTTACTCGAGCATAAACTTGAATACCTCGACGGGTATTCCCTCTTATATCGACGATGGCGCGGCCTCCACGGCTGAAGCGACTACTGTTCAGCTAGAGTTCAAATACCTAGCTAAATTGACAGGCGAGGCGGAGTATTGGCGCTCTGTTGAGAAGGTCATGGAAGTCATTGACGCGCAGAAAAGGCAGGATGGCCTGCTTCCAATCTATGTTTCCCCGGAAACTGGTCAATTCAAGGGCGAGAATATTCGTCTCGGTAGCAGAGGCGACTCCTACTACGGTATGGTGCCTCAAGAATACACGTCCAACCTGCTATGCTCGAACTGACACGCCGACCAGAATATCTTATCAAGCAGTACCTACAGACTTCGGAACAGGAGCCAATCTACAAGGAGATGTGGGATGAAGCTCTACTTGGCATGCGTAAGCACCTGCTTACTTACTCGCAAAACGCCCGCTTGACAGTGCTCGGGGAGCGACCTCACGGCCTTGACGGCACTTTGTCCCCCAAGATGGACCACTTGGTCTGCTTCCTTCCCGGAACGATCGCCCTTGGAGCGACCGGGGGACAACCGCTCTCTGAGGCGCGCAAGTCTCCCAACTGGGGCCAACGACAACAGGAAGAAATGCGCCTGGCGCGAGAACTGACCAGAACCTGCTGGGCCACGTACCTAGTCACTGAGACCGGCCTCGCCCCGGAAATCACCTACTTCAAAGTCGACGACCCCCGAGTCATGGAGGCAGACATGTACCCGGATTCGACGGCCGTTACTGGCAGAAACGACCAGCCAGTCTCGTCACCAGGCGACCTCCCTCTCCTTTCGAAGCCTTTGTACCCAATCCCTGGCCGATCTGACCCGAACGACCCATCTACCAAAACCTGGCTTGATGACCTTGAAATCCAGCGGATGGACCGGCATAACCTCCAACGGCCCGAGACTGTGGAATCCCTCTTTTACATGTACCGGATTACTGGAGATGACACTTACCGGCACTGGGGCTGGGAGATGTTCAAGTCTTTCATCAAATACACCGCTGTCGTGGAGACAGACGGCCTCGATCACGAAACAGGCGACAAACCACTGGCCGCTGGAGGATCGGGTCGCATCACTGGATTCACCTCTCTCTCGAATGCGAAATCCCTTCCTGTGACGACCAGGGACAATATGGAGAGTTTTTGGATGGCGGAGACGCTCAAGTATTTTTACCTACTGTTCTCCGATCGGGAGTTCATCTCGTTGGAGGACAATGTCTTCAACACCGAGGCGCATCCCTTCCCTCGTTTCAAGCCCACCGGGGAGTTGAAGACGGGGTGGACGAGGAAGAGTCGCACGACGGAGGAGAGTCAGACGATGGAGCATCTAGCTCAGATGTAATTTTTTTTCTACTTGTTGTGGTAACTTGCTTGGCGATTCTGTATAGTTTGAATATCCCAAATTTCATACTTTTTGACCGCTTGCATCGTGGTTTCGAAACTTGCTTATGGTCTTGTAGATCCAATACGAAAGAGGGACCATTTTTCACAGCTCACTACACCAACCACCACCCAGTCCTTGAGATTTACTCCAACTTGAGGCCCCGCTGTACAGCAGCGTCAATCAGTCGCTTATATCCCCGTACAGCCTCTTCGAGTTGCCCGACTGTGATTGCCTCATCATCCCCGTGCGCAACATGAATGCTTCCCGGCCCATATAGGTATCGCTTCACTTTCTCCGAGACCTTCAGGTTCGGCACATCCGTGCCGTAATTCACGGTCATCACCTCAAAGCCCGGGACATCGGTATCCAAGTCCTGGGGCGGATACCCTCCGCTGTACACCTCGAAATCACAGTAGACGCTCTCATCTCCGTTGGTGGCATCCTTGACCGCTTGCGCGACGACCTTCCTCGCGTCGTCCGGGGTACCCTCGGCCAGGCGAATGGCGACCTCCGCCCGCGCCTTGGCGGGGACCACATTGGCCGCGACGCCCGCATCGACGCGACCGATGTTCACCGTCGTCCGGCCATATTTGGGGCTGGCGGGCAGGCCGCCTTCCTCGGCGGGGATCTCGCCGAGCACATCCAGCCGGGACAGCGCGGGCAGGAGCGCGGATACGGCACTCCGGCCGAGCCACGGGTAGCCGGAGTGGGCGGCCTGGCCGGTCGCCACGAGCGGGAACTCGAGCATGCCCTTGTGGCCGGAGACGAGCGCCAGCTCGGTGGGCTCCCCGAAGATGACGGTGTGGAAGGGCGACGGGTCCGTCGGGTTGAGCGGCGACTCGGAGAAGACGCGCATCCCCAGGCCGCCGACCTCCTCGTCGACCACAAAGAGAAGCCCCAGGCTGGCCCCGGGTTGCTCCTTCAGGGTCTCGAGGACGGCGAAGATCTGCGCGGCGATGCTCGCTTTGGCGTCGACGGTGCCGCGGCCGGCGAGGGTCAGGGAGGACCGATTGCCGGGGTCGTGGTCATGGAGGGTGTAGGGGAGGAACGGCGGCACCGTGTCGATGTGGCTGGTGAGAAGGATCTCGGGCCGGTCCTGCGAGGGCGAGGCGGACGGGTAGGCGAAGATATTGAATCGGTTCTTGTCGGTGGTCGGGTCCGTTCCCTGGCTGCCGGCGGGGACGTGTTGCTTGATCACCGTGAAATTGTGCGTTTCGAGAAAGTCGGCGATGAAGAGCCCGACGGCGGTTTCGTTGCCAGACACCGAGGGGATTTGGACGAGGTTGCGGTGGAACGAAAGGAAGAGGGAGGCATCGATGATGTCCGAGGGGTCAGTAGTGAGCGATAAGGGTGATTGTTGAGGCGGTGCTGCTGCGGCAAGGCCAGCAGCTGCTAGCAGAAGGGGAATGGGAATTTTCATGTCTATTGAAGCTGGGGAAGATGGTGAACGATAGCTATCATCGCTGAGCGAGGTAGGAGGGAGTCAATTGAGAAGTGGGGAATGAATATGGAGGGTCACGGTGGAAGAAGGAAACTGAGGTTTTTGGGTCTAGTTCTTGTACTGTACTACGCTAAGTAGCTAGTAGCTAGTAACTTATCTAGTAACTAAGTTAGTAGCTAGTAACTGAATTAGTCGTATCAGTATGAAGCTAAGGATGAAGGATGGTGAGGAGACACTGGAGATAAGCCGATAACCAGCCGATGCAGGCATAGATCCAAGTCACGTGGATGATTATGATTGACCTTCCTGGTCTGGAATAGTGTCGCATGGTATCATCGAGATCATCATCGAGATCATCCGGACCAGAGAAGACATGCAGCACAGTTTGAGGAAAGCACGCTTCAATGAAAACTGAACTGAAGATGAAAAGGATCAAAATGTATGTTGCTTCAAGACCCTTGCTTTTTATCATGTTAACAAGGACATTTTGCTGACTGAGTTGGCCATTTCGAATTGATCAACCATCAACCATCCTTGATCAATTCACATGTGTAGACCTGTGGTCCGTGGATAAGCCATGACGTAAATTTCCCAACAAATGACTTCTTCGCCTTGCAATAGCCGAGATGGGCTCCAATCCAGCTCAAGGACCAATCGAACATTCATTCATTCCTCTTTGCATCAGGGCTCAGGGCCCGGATGCTAACCCGATCATCTGGACCGTGGACACATGGCGCCAAGATCCCTTGCTCGCGGAAACGCGCCGTTCTTCCACCCGTTCGTCTGGCATTCTCCATCGGGCAAAATCAACTTGAACCAAGGTTCATTGGGTGGACCAAAATCCAGAGAGTGAGTGAGCCCTGAGCACCGAGCAGGGATCCAGCCGGTTGGCGCTGGGCCCTGTGGATCTGACGTCGGCACCAGCTGGATGATTGTGACTCGTGAGAGTCAATGATGATTGAGCTTTTCGGCCATGCCCACAATAACCCACAACAACCCACAACGAACTACTCGCGTAGTAGTCCGCACTGTACAAGTTACAAGAGTACAAGTAGTACTACGATTACCCATAGAAGTCGGGTCTAGTCTACCTCGCTGCCTCACATGCCAACAAGCAAGCTAATTTAGCAGCCCCCAGACCCCGAAATCGGGACCAGATCGGAGCATAGACTAGGTCTCAGAAGATGGAAATTAGAGAAATGGCGGAGGGGAAGGGGGCCGGCCACAATCACATACTCCGTACAATGTAGTGAACCGAGGCAAGTGACGAAACAGGCTGTAATTCACCGCAGGGAAAATCTGAGGGACAGAGAAAGACAGAAAGGGAAGTGGAAACATTGCACTGGCCACAGCCAAAGTGCCAACTAGCTCGTCTTTCCTTTCCACCTGCTGACTGACTGGTTGATTGAAACTGGTCGGGATGTCAAAGGTCTGTGTGATAGGTTATGGTACTTTCGGCATACTTCCCTCTTCTCCAGTCGTGACTGGAGGGGAATGATGATGGGGCAAAACGGGGAAGAGGAAGCAGAAGAGGAAATAGAAGAGAAAGCAGAAGAGGAAGCGGAAGAGGAAGGGATCACACAAATATTTTGGAGCGCGACAGAACAAAAGAATCCACCAGCCACTGGGGTACATTGGTACCTTGTGTCCAGTTGGCATTAGATAGGGTCGCGCTGTGTTGGACCAGTCGAGTCGGTCAGAGTCTAGACTCTACCTCACACCCATTCTCCTCTTTCTCTTCGTCCGTCGGCGGCGTCGATCTCCCTTTCACAACGATGCGCTGCCGCCGTTGAAACGTATCTGAGGGAGTCTCAGACAGCTGGAGGACAAGATAGATAGATCATTTGATCGTTGATCGATCTATCAGTCCTTTTCCAGGTAAAGTTACAGGTACCAGGAAGGTTAAAGTACTTGTCCTTGTACCTGAAATCTTATTCACAGATTTCCTCAGGAACAAACAACGAGGCAACAACCTTCTTTCCCTTTCCGCGGAGTAGTTATTCGACCGTGTCTCTTCTCCGGCGCCAGGATGACGGGAGAAGCCCAGAGAACAAGGGCGAGAGCCGTGGGGGAGAAAAAGCCGGATCCATGGGCTCGCTTACTGCGGAGCGAGATGGAGCATGCTGCAATTGCACAATCTGAAAGCACAGTACGGAGTACAGTCCGGAGTACTCAGCTCAGTACCTGATGAAATCTCTAGATAAAAAAATCTTCTCTGCTCACTATGGTGTGTGCTTCAGTTCTGTATAATCTCGCTCTCTCTTTCCCTCGTTGGCTTTTTTTTTTTTTGGCTAGTTTCAATCTTGTGATTAGTTATAAGTACTTTCTGTCAGTGACGATTCACCCCCTCCCGGTCATGATAATGCAGAAAAACCCTGAGGCTGGCCTGTCAGATAGCTGGATCAACTATGCATGAAAAATTCTTCCATGGAGACATCAGAGAGCTTGGCCACTCAAAGTGCCAGTGACAATGCGGCTTGTCTCTCGATCCATGGTTTTTGACTGGAGCCGAAGGCAAAAATGTCGTAAAGGTTGATTCTTAGGAAAGCAAGAGAAGGGGGAAAAGAAGAGAAAAAAAAATTTTTAAGAAAAAGAAGAAAAAAAGAAAGTACTCCGTATAGACGGAGGAATAGACTAAAGACTGTTAAGTATGACAAGAGGCAAGATGACTGGTGATTTGGTGGTTAGAATATCCATCAACCCTTCTGGAATTGATTGATCCGGTGGATTTTATTGTGATTAAGTGGTTACTTAATACTATTATTTTTAGTAGATGGTAACTGTGTGTAGTTTAGTTGTAGAACTCTGATTCATTATTGAATCCATATTTTGTTAGAAACTTTTCAATTCAGAAGACATTTTGTCTGTGCTTTTTCCTCTCTGATAATTATTATAGTCACTGTTGCTGTTATTCCTCATCCATCTCCAATTCTCCCCTCCTCCTCCCTCCCCTCCCCAACATTGTTGTTTCCCTCAGTTTCTTCCTTTCTGACTCCTCTTTCTTCATTCCTCCTCTACTCCCTTCTTCTTTCCCCCTCTTCTGGACTGTTTCCCGCTTCCTCCCACCTTTAATTAACGGAAGGATTCTGTTCCTGGCCCTCTTTCTCTCACCGCAAACCACCACCTTCCCCCCCCCTCCTCCCCTCCTCCAACACCCGCCGATTGCCGGCAGCCTACACTTGGCTGTTTCCGCCGTGCTTTTTTGGGCTTCACCCAACCACCCTCTCTCATCCTCGGCCACTTGTTCGTCATTCGTGTGTCGTGACAGGCTCCACGTCGGTCATTGCCTTTCGTTCTCAACATCCTTTACATCAATCACTGCATCTTCGTTCCCCATTTCCCATCTCGCCCGACTATCCGACTATTCGCCTCTAGTGGCCAGGCCCTGTCATTTCAACCAAATTCAACAAAAGTCGCATCGTGACAGGCAGACAAACAAACTGTTCGGCCTCATCTCGACCTACTTACCTGTTGATTCGTCAATTCTACCCAGGTGTTGGTGTGGAAGTCATCTCGACTCATCGCAATCTATTCCACCGCCGCGCCACGTCTTCTACCAGTAGTGAGCCAAGTCCATCAGCCAGAGCCCCGTCCTGACCTCTCGCCGTGCCTCGGGGGATTCAACGTTTACTTTTGCTCTGGTTCCCGCTCTTTCTTCTATCTTCTCTTTCGGCCTGGCATATCGTGCGCAATTGGAACAAACAATTTAGTTCGGGCACCACTCCTCGGATGATGTTTTGTCGGGTCTCATATTGACTCCATTTTCTCCCCTGCGTTCCGCGTCGTCACTCCTCACCTCCGTGTTGCCCTACACTGGCACGTGAAGTGGAAGCCTCACCATCGCCTTTCTCGTGCTCGCTCTTCTCGCTCAGTCACCGCTCGGTCTCATCACCCTGGTGGTTCCTGTCCATCGATTATGTTCAAACCCGTCCAGTTCCTCGACACTCGGTGGTGCGACAGTTCTGAAACCATGGCAGAATCGTGTTCTTCATTTCGCCAGCCCCAGTCGCCCTTGACCACCACCTCTTCTACCCCCGTTTCACCCGCCGTGTCTCTTTTTTCGGCCAAAGGCCACACGCGTTTTTCCAGCTCCGTCTCGTCGTTGGTATCGTTCCCAGGGCACGGAACCTCCATGGAGAGTAATTCGCGCAATGCTTTGATGGGCGTAAAGGAAGAGCCCTGTGGGGAACGACCCCGCGATCTCGAGGAGGAATATTTCCGTATGTCATTGCCCTTGCGCCAGCCCCGTAGCCGCCCGACAGTTGTTCCCGCGTTACCATCCCAAATTGCTGATAGGATTGAGTTAACTTTTCCCTCTTTCCACAGAGCACTTCGATCAAGGGCTGTCTGTGGTCGAAGACTCCGGCTTCGAGTCGTTTGACCCGGCTGACAGCTACGACCTGACAGATGCTGGCATGGACTTGAATCAATCGCCCAGGAACCAATGCTCCGACAGCATCTCAACCAAGGGCCTTTCCCGTATTGGCTCCCGGATATCCACCATCTCCACGATGTGGAAATCCAAACGGGCCTCAGATGGAGTTGATGGGGCAGATGCATTCGCAACGCACCTGCGTTCCCGGACCAACTCAGCATCGTCAGCCATCGTTAGCCCCGTGACAGGCTCGTTTAGCCGCGTCAGCTCCATTCAAGTGCCACCATCCCCAGCCCGGACCATTTTTGAGGAGGAACTCAGCGAGTCTGGCACGCAGCCAATTGATATTGTCCGCTCGAGCAGATACAGTCAAGACGATTCGGGTCCGCAGGCAACAACCCCATTACTTCCACCTTTTATGGGGGATGAACCATCCTACCCTGCCGTCTCTCGTGTTCACTCCCCATTGCAATCACCTTCTGTGGCTGATATGACTGACGATGGCTCGAACAATCCCACTGTGTTGGACAGGCGATTGGCAGGCTTGCCGTCACCGCCTCTATCTTCGAAGCCGTCCGTCGCCTCTTTTAGTCGTCCGCGTGCCAGCACGGCCCGGACAGTGTCGGGGGATGCGCCCCCATTCACCCTCTCAGATCCTAATGATGAATGGGTGAACAAATTGGGACACGCCAACTTCACTATCCAGCCTGAGCCTTATATGCCCGAAGTGATCGACGTGGATTCCCTTCAGCAGCTGCGCACCAACTGGGATCTTGCGCAATGCAATTTCGCTCGCCATCTTGTGCGGACAGGGGAACACTATGGTATTACCTCAACAATCTACAAGCTGACTGAGGAAAAATGGGAGGTGATCAATCGCGAGTGGAAGAGTCATCATGGAGCAATGCTTTCTCACCTAAGAGGTACAGAAGGAGTGCGACTAGATTTGGTCCGTTCGCACTGTGACCCTTGCCATCCGGTCAAATTACCGCGCTTGCATGACGACAAGTTTCCCGAACTAGGCGACGGCGAGATCGTCGGACCGATGAAGATCGCCCCCGCCGTCAGCGGTTCAGGCCTTTGTCGAAGCCGCTCGCTCAAACGCAACCTTTTCAAATTTTTCCAGGATCTCGTGATTCGGTCCTGATCCTTCACTTAATGACCACAAACTCTACTACGGGAGGATTCGATGTACAACATCTGACGAATGCTACGCCTCTTGAACGATCCGCTCGATTCAGCGCGTGATGACTAATGCATATGATTTCTTTGCGTCTCTGCCTATGACTCTGTGATCCAATAATGATGCTTGATGACCTGTTTTTGTACCTGTGACTACTGTCTTATAGAGTGCAGTTCATTCCTTGATGTTTAATTGACCGAAACCCCCGATTCTACTTGTTAATCTGTGCCCTTCCGGCTATTGCCTCAGACCAATATGGAACGGTCGTGCTGTACTGCGCCTGCCGCCACGTTATTACTTTGTATGCATATGCATGGCTTTTGCGATTCATGTCTTGTTCATGGTGTCAGGTTTCTTGCCTTGCTGGCGAAAGCCACATAAAGTGCTAATAGGCATGACAAGAGCGGTGGCAGGTTATTCCTGGCTACCGAACTCTTCGGTCCGCAGGACAGGATGTGTGGCAGGAGGACCATACTAAAAGAACAAAGTACATGTTCTGAAATGAACCAAAGAAACGGAAAATAGTTGAGATACCAAGGGGGAGGGCTCGGTATTGCAGCATTTGCGCCTTATACCCTTGAGACATACATTTTAAAACGATTTGTTTCTCCCAGAAAAGTCCACATAGCCATATCCTCACACTTACACAGATAGAATTCGATTGGATGCAATTTTTGACATCGGAGGGGTACGCTTTCGCAAAGGAAACAAAACATGTTCATATTTTTGTACATATAAATAGTGTATTGACATTTATATTCACGATAGCTGCAAACCTCCTACCCTCCCAGGATTCCCTGGAACCGCTATACAAGTCTCTTGATCCTCGCTGCTGGGAAGATGTCTGCAGATACAAAGCCAGCAGTTGATGGGGGCGGGGACGGTGGCTTTGCCGGAACAAAAAAACCGACCAAGCCCGAGCAAAACCCATACAACGAACGACTGAGTGACTGCAGCGCAATGCCTCGTGATAAAGCTGTTTATCACTGTTTACACCCAGTACTGGCTCCAAAGACGCTTTGCTTCCTCATCTCCCCGGAACTGGAACTCTACCCGAATGATATCTTTGAAACCCTCGTCCATGGAAGGCTCCTTGAAACGACGAAGGAAGTCCCCGAAGGCGATACCGGGAAGAAGGGTACGGGATTCCGGATTCTGCAGTGCCCGTATGTGGGCGAGATGGTCAGTTATGATTCTAATTTCGTGGTTTTTCTGGGAAAGAAAGAGAGGGATAGGTGGGGGAGGGAGGGAGGGGGATTCGAATGAGGACAGGTGCGGGGTGCACCATGGCAAAATTGGAATCAACATGGAGGATCAACAGAAAGAGTGAGGTTCCAAAATTTCATGGAGAACTGGGGAGGGGGTGGTGGTGGGAGGAAAGTGAGGGCTTGGGGCAAGGGAAAGGCAGCTCAGACAGCTCAGACAGCTCAGACAGCTCAATGAGGGTAGATACACGTGATATGAGATAGACAAGCCAATCTCATAGTCGGCAGTATGCTAGAACCAAACAGGAACCTGTTTCAGCTGATAGATAGCTACTTGTGAGGTGCTGAGTGTCTTGTACCCTGTACGCTCCGAAGAAAGCGAGCGAATGACGTAAAGAACACTGGAAGTCATCCAGATGTGCAACGTACCAGGGATAGGTTAGCGGCACGGACCGCATTGTTATGCCGGCAGAGGGTCGGGGAAGCAGTGAAATATACGCAGCGAATCGGCACCTTGAACTCCCTAGCCACTGCAACCCACTGGGCTCTCGTCTCTGCGTCGGCATTGGTATTATCTGTGTAGAGTATGGCATGCCGCCAAAAAGTCAACGAGTCATCCAATTGACGCCCTCCACGGTCTGCTGGGTCTGGTGCAAACATTGCGACGTGGGCGGGCCAGAGAGAGGGTTTGGAGCAGTAACGAGGGTGTGGGCTGGATGATTGCGAAATGTCCGCGTAACATGCGAGAGGGTTGAGCGACAAGAAAAGGGTCGGGGTGTGCTGTACGTACCAACCACCACAGACTTTCCGGCTGCAAGGTGTTCCTTTGCCACTTTTATGCACTTAGGGCGCTATCGCAAACGATCGGTTGGTCAGTTTCCTTGTTGATATGGACTTTCTTCGTATACATCCATCTGACACTGCAGGAAGGGCCCTGATTGCTTTTTCTTGGAGGTGCTCTGACTCATCTGCCCGAATCTCATTGGAGTATGCAAATTGACAAATGCAGACAGACGAAAGTGAAGTCAACTCGGACAAGGTAAAAGAGGATAGACGTACAGTTTTGAGGAGGTCTTGGTTGACTCGTTCGTAGTTCAAGGGTTCTAAATAGTCCCAGTAGAACGTTGACTTGCCCGCTCCCGGGCTGCCGCAGAAGATCACCAATTCAAGTGGGCTCTCTCCGGAAAAGGGAGGCGACACTGCTTCGTCCGTTATTGAATATCGAAGATAGACCCGTGGCGGGTTCACAATCATCCTACATGAGATGACATACCATCGTCACCAGGAGCTTCTTGCAGATACGTGGACGGGTCGAACGGTTCCACGAGTGGTTCTGGATCAGCGTCCAGGAAAAATTCCTCGGGGGTCTTGAAGGACAGTCCAGCATTGATAGCGAACCCACTTCAGCCGCCGTTAGCGAGGGAAAGGAATATGCTCGGTTTCTGGCTCACCGATCTACTTGCGAGTGGTCTCTCGGCCGTCCAGCGGCATCGCCAACAAAAACAGAATGGCGGAGGTCGACACCAGAAATGTCAAAGTCGTAATCGTCTAGGAACTCTGTCCACAGTCCTGTTCTGGGTTTCCGGTAACCATCATCTTCTGTGGCAGCGTAGACGCTCATTGGGATATCCAGTTGCTTCATAACGGCAGCAGCTCTTTCCTTGAAGTTTGTAAGACTTTTGGAGTCGCCGTTGCCCACCTTGGTCTCCTTTTTCAAGCTGATCTTTTTCTGGTTCGTTATGACGATCACATAATATCTTCGAAATCAGCAACTGGAGACTATTTGTAACAATGGAAGAGCTTCCGCCATTTCATCACATACCCCTTCTCATTTAACTCTCTGAGTTTGGTCGGCACCGTACTATGCCACCACTTCCAGTCTGCTGAGCTTTTAGGAAATGTGTTTCCTGATGCTGTGGACACCAGGGTCGAGTCCTGCGATGATGCGTCGGTTAGCATGGGGAGAGGGTTCCCTCATTGTGAACTGAGTCCAGTCTCACGACCCTTACCAGATCAAAGGCAGCGACTTTGGGCTTTTCGGCCGTCTGTTTGCGCTCGGCTTCAGCGACATACTTACCTATTATGGCGCTGTTGTTCACCACGCGCCAAGTGATCTGCTCGGGTTTCTTTTGTGAAGCAGGGGTGAAAAACGAGGACACAGCTCTCTCTATAATGGCGTCAGATAAGACCCCGAGCAATATCTGGTCGATATGAAGTTCCAGGCCTGAATCTGCACAATGATCTTGACTTACTAGTGATGGTGGATTCCACCTTTCGCTTGACCGGAGGCGGAGAGATGGCGCGACTGGGGGACGCTGCTCGTTTGGTGGCCCCAGCACCGGCCATTCTGAGATGCTGCAGGCGGGGGATAATCTTGATGGTGATTTTGCTTTTATAATAGGCGTTGAGCGACACGGACGAACTGAATGGGCACCTGATGATTGGGAGAGTGTGCCTGGTTCAATGCACGAGTCGAAAAGTGGAAGGGAGACGCGCGGGTACACGCGAAAAGCCATCACGAAGTCACATGCTCAAATGTAGAATTGCGGGAATCACCAAAGCCGATCAGTGCAGCCGCCAAAGACTGATATGTTAAGAGTCGACTATAATGTTCTAGGTCGTCAGCTGCCATCTTTTTGGTTCTCAAATACATCTTGCGACTTTACTCCTACTAAATATTCGTCTGAAGCATCGGATGTACATTGATAATAGAGCTAAACCACAGGAACAGAGAGCCAACATAGCTCCGGGGGTATAAAACATTGTGAAAGAAGCAAGCGCCAGGATGCATCAGTTACTTCGCTCGGGTATCCAAAGACAGCCTATCCGCTTGTTCGAGCCGTACAGCGGACTTGAGTTGCTCTCGAAGCCCGAACAGATGCTGAGAAGCCGTCTTCATCATTTCCTGGTTGCTTCCGTCCTGGACAGTAATTGCGGCTTGCAGGACGTAACTACCCGTTCGCTCGAGCGGAGTGAGCTCGTGATAAGCAGGCAGCTGCCGTCGAGGGCCATGTAAATCCTGCGACTCCGCCTGGGGATACAGCAAGACGCGATGGAGGAAGATGACGATATCATTCTGGACGAAGACATCTCCTTCTACCATGTACTCGGTAACAAAACTGACATTCCAGGTCAGTTTCGTTCGTCTGCAGTCTTCAGGGTACGAGCGGGGAAGTGATGGGCGTATCAGCTACGGGGGAGAGACCGACCTATAGCCCCAGGCATTCATGGGAACTGCAATATCACCTTTAGGCAAGCTTGCACTTGCCATCAAGCGAGTGGTCACAGCCGATCGAGTACCAGCCTCGGGAATGTCTCTGAACTCCAGCTTCCAGGGTTGGTTCTCGTAGCAGTAGGAGGACTGGTCGGTTCCAGACATAGACACATCTGCATCATGGGAGGCTGACATGGCCGACAAAGAGGTCGCGCCAAAATCCGCCTTGGTCACAGGGCCAACGACCTGGGTGTAGTACATGCCCCCATTCAACATCTTGTTCAAACGTTGCAGGTCGGCGCCCTGCACATCCTGACTGGCTCCCACCCGGGTGGTGACAAGGCCTGGCTTGCGATAGGCCTTGAAGACCAGCCGTCTCTCCAGGCGGTGACGCGGTTGCATGGCTGTCAAGCCGGCCAGCTGTTGGAGGAGCTCATGGTGCTGATGGGCTGGGACCGAGGCGAAGAGCAGAAGCTCATGCATGGTCACAAGGGAACGAAAGAAAGATCGAGACTAAGAAGAGTAAAATCCGGGATCAAGCGGGGAAGAAGGGAAGAAGGGGGATAAGGTGTGCCTAACTCCGTCTAGCAGGTTCGGCGCCGTGATTCTGTCGGTGCTTCTGGGAGGTCGGTGATTTGGGAGGGATTTTAGGTAAGCTTTCCAGGAGCTTGGAGATTCGAGCCTTGGAGCCTTGGAGCCTTGAAGCTCCCAAGAAAGCACAGGCAGGGAATACGGGTAAACCCGGGATAGGAATCGGTCCCAAGAAGGGAAATTTTCCACCCGGCACTTCTTCCGAGACCCAGAGGTAGAACCTACTACTCCGTAGTAGATCAATGGTACTACTACGGTAGTACAGTAGGTACGTACCCTACTTTCCCCGGCGTAGTGATGAAGGACAAAAGGAATCAGTGCTAGTCTTATAGTTCTCTATATTGGTGCGACATGTACCTACTCAGACTAAAGTACTACGGACTCCATGCTAATGAATTATACTACTATCTACTGTAAGTACTGTATACATAGTAACTTACGGATAGTATGTATATGTGATGCGGGGATGAACATCCGGGAGGGGGAAAGTCAAAATGCCCCCCTCCTCCTCCCTTCGCCCCAGGCCATAACGTGATGATGATCACGCCAGATGGGTAATCAGACGATGTACTCGTACGTACTTTACAGTAGCACATAAGTTATATGTCAAGATATGGGTGGTTACACCATAGTGACCCAAGTGACTGCAGCCCTCACAGGCTGCTTTAGTCAGGCACGCCTCCTTCACCGAGATTGCGGGTTTAGGCAAAGCTCGGGGCAGCCCGACATCCTTCGGAGCCGTTGATTTGGGGAAAGATGAGGGGAAACACATCCCTGGATTCCCTCCAGCGGTCCAGCGGCCGGTGGCTTCATTGATAGGTGAATAGGTGAGTAATTGTCAGATCATGCCACAGAAAGAGGAATGTTTTCCGCCTGGCGAGATCAATCGAGAGATGATCGCAGCTTGGGGGGAGGAGAAGAAGAAGAAGGGGAGAATTTAGCCTTTCGGGGGGTAAAATCCGGCAGCCGGCGGGTGTGGTTGTTGTTGTTAATAATTAATAGCCCGTTATTAACTAACAGTTAACTCTCACTCCATACAGACTTATTCGTATGCGTAGGAGGAGCTTATCAGTAGAGAAAAAAACCCACACCCTCGCTTCCGCTCCCCGAGGACTCGACCGATCACCGACCGACGTCGTGTTCCATTCGCCTTTTTTCCACTTCCTCCCTCCCCCCCCCCCCCCCCCCTCTCCTCCTCCTCTCGCTCCTCCTGCTCCTCCTCTGTCTTCACTTAATTCAATCCTCTCCCACCCCTCCACCCCTCCCTCAATCTTCCTCTTCCTCTATACATACACAATTTTGTCCCGCCTGTTGCCTATATAATTGCCTTGAATTCATATTTGGGATACACCAGCTTGCCGTACCTACAATCAATTTCCCGCCCCTGCTCATTTCCTCATTTCTCCAACCGGTTTTATCGCCCACATCGGTCGCTTCGGACAGTCCCGGAAAGCTCGCTCGGTTGCTCAACACGCCTGTCTTTTTCTGCCCCTAGACTCCTTCTCCAGCCGATATAACTTGATCAAAGATCTTATTTTACACTATCATAATGCACGCCACCATGGTTCTCCGTAACGCTGCTCGCACCCCTCTCATTCGTTTCCTCGGAAAGCGCTCTGTGCCTAGTTGGTCTCTCTGTCTTGTCTGACTTGTTCACGGATTCAGTTGTCTAACGCGCGTCTTACCAGAGTCCATTGATCACACTCCTCGTGCTCACCCGGCTTCCCCTACTGGTGTCCTTCCTGATTCCTTCGCCGCCTATCGCTCTAAGGCTCAGCAGCACGGTCCCCTGGGTCGTGCCTCTTTCTCCCAGGGCATCGGTCGCGCCTCGGGCGCTTCTCTGGGACCCATCCAGCCCAAGCAGGGTGAATTCTTCGACCGTACTGAGCTCCCCTCCCGGTTCCACCGTCTACCCTGGACCGAGGCCGAGATTGAGGCCATTGAAACCGGTGGTGCCAGCCTGTTCGCCTAGGTGCTCAAGAATGTCCAATGAGGAGATGACGAGACGATAAAGGTCATTTAACATTGACGGGATGCACGACACATGATGTCACGCTGCGATGAGAGACTGGTGGCCTGGACCGCGGCACCTGCGCGCCCGCGTCAGGAAGGACTACCAGTGACTCTGTGAAGGTCACCGTCTTCTCTCGTATCACCTCAACTTGCACGTCACTTTCTTCGGGACCCGAAACACTGTCTTATACGGGTGATGGGTCGTTCAGTCGGCATGCCCAACCTGGAAGCTGATCCGGTCCCTCTTCTCTTCTTTTCGCCACTGCTTCTCTCATTCTCTGATTCGAACACGGCGCTGGTGGTTGCTCGTCTTCATGCTTAGCGGTTTAAAATTCTTGTTCTTCGTTTGGGGCGTGGTTGCTACATGTGGGATAATCTTTTCTCTGTCTGTTTGGGACATGCTGAGGTCTATTGAGATCTATTCAGACTCTTGTGTATAGCTGATTCGTTGATCCGGATTGAAAAGTCTGCTGGAAATAGGGTTTGTACACGGGCGGAGATACTTTGGTCTCTATGATGAGACTTGGGAGAATTCAACCAATGGGATTCAATCATGAATCTGGAATTCTACAGCCTTGATGATTCCTAATTTCTACTGCGTTAGCTGCCGTAAAGATAGAGGCCCAAGGATACCGAGGATGCCAGGGTTAGCGGTGATTCAAGAACGCACTGAGTATAGATATGGATCTCTTTGCACGTGCTGCTGCAGGGGTCCTAGCGTCGTCGGTCTCGACCACGCAATCAACCTCCAATCAACCTCCACTCAACCAACATACATGACTGGATCTTCTTTGCACATGGAACTTTGCACCATCTTCAATCAACCCTGAGATCCCGAATCCTGGTCGATTCGGGCCTTTCTCTTTTTTTTCTGTAAGAAAAGAGAAAAGTGCAGCGCAAACGTCTTAAACACAAAGAATGGCTTTCAACAGGGGCTCGGAGCCCATCACCTTTAACGAAGTGGATGAAGCCAACCATCCCACAGCCACTTATGTCTACACTCAATCAACTCGCTCTCTGCCATTGGGGCATAGCAACGGCCGTGCAAACAGCGGACGTATAGATCTTCTGGTCAGTTGAAATAGCCTTGCCCTCTTTAATGGTACTGGTGTGAAAGCGATCGAGTGCTACAACTGACATGTGAGCTGATCGATTTTCCAGCGTGATCCCTCCAGCTTATCAACAACTTCATGGTCTTCCAAGGCAATACTGGACATCCTTGCTGACGTCTTCCTCCCTACTGGATATCCGCACAGTGTCACTGAAGACTACACCCCGTAAGTCTGGTAAACTCGGTCCCGACCATGATTCTGACTAACGCACTGCAGCTATCAGATCTTTGTATGTCTGTGTTTACCGCGTCCATCGCAAGCGATCCACTTCCGGCATAGACATTGAGGCACCCCTCTTCACGGTGTGACTAACCATGGTTCCTCAAGGACTCCCTTCAAGCATTCAGCAGCTCTATCGCAGGTCTCCTGTCATCCAGGGCGGTCTTACAAGGTTGGTCATACTGCATATTCCCTCACTCTGCCACAATTACAGGGCAAGCACTGATAAACAATCTACAGGCGTGGGTGTCGGCAACGCTGATGCATCACCTACTTCAGCTCTACTCCTCCATATCCTTCAAGACTCATCCGGCCGCATCGCCACCATTCTCTTCGCGCATCGGATCGGTACCGCGCTCGAGCCAGAATGTAAGAAGTATCGGCTTGCGGCGGACATTTTCAACGATGCGGCCATGATCTTGGACTGTCTTTCGCCCATGGTCCCAGCGGGTGCTCTTCGAGTTCTCGTACTCAGCACAGCAGGCATTCTTCGTGCCCTTTGTGGCGTCGCAGGTGGAAGTTCCAAGGCGAGCTTGAGTGCGCACTTTTCTCGATGGGGCAACCTAGCGCAGGTTAATGCTGTAAGTAGCTGTGCGCACAGCTCACCCTTGTAGTGACCTATTTCTATGTCCGAGGTCAAGAGAGATAACATCTTTTCAACAACAGAAAGACTCGTCTCAGGAGACTATCATCTCTCTCGTTGGCATGCTGGTAGGCCCCTCCTTCCCTCCCATTGATCCTGCTCGCCCCTGCACGCTACATGCATGCATCCACGCATGCATAACAGGGCTAGCTGACAGGTTGCAATAAAAAAGGTTGGGTCCTTCGTCGTCTCGCATGTGACAGGTTTCGCTGCAACATGGATCGCCCTCCTAATCCTTTTGGCCCTGCATTTGAGTCTGAACTATGCAGCCGTCCGCTCCGTTCAAATGACGAGTCTAAACAGACAGCGGGCGAACATTGTCTTCTCCACCATTCTCAACACTGACGGGGACTTCCTGCAACTGATGGACCAGGACGCCGGCACTAGTACCAGAACTCACCGCACAACAATCTCTCCTCACAAGCCGAGTGCGGATCACGACCGACTCCGAATCCTCACGCCATCCCAAGTCGCCAAACAGGAGAAGATCTTCGAGACAGACGGCGTTCTCAGATGGTCATCTCCTGTTCCAACCCGACCAGCGGGGTTGTGCATCGGCACCTGCCGGATCGGCGTTTCCCTTCGTCAATTTCTCCTCGGTCCATCCTCTTCCTCCTCTTCCTTCTTCTGCTTCTCCTCCCTCGCCCTCGCTTCCACCCATTCCTCCCTATGCCTAAAGACTAACATCCCTCTTCCGCAACTCTCTACCCTCTTCACAGACGAGCACTACATCCTCTTCCTCAGCTTCTTCACGGGCAAATGGCACGCCAACATCCTCCTGAAATCTAGCTGCACCACGCAGAGCCAGCTCAAAGGCTGGCTACACGCCTTGCTCGCAGCAAGAGTTCTTTCTTGCAGTCACCCCTCTTTCCCCAGCGCAAAACCATCTGAGAAAGGGAGCGAACCCGAGATGGATGGGATGAGCATCAGCCCCATTCTCGACGTTCTTCACCGCACACTGTCCTTTCTGAATGAAGATGGCCGGTTCGAGCGGTACATGGCCGCCCTCGAAAATGCAGGGTGGGATCTCACCATCCGGGCATTGGAGACGAAGTCGGGCAGAAGAGTTTGTTGATGTACCAAAATCCAGTCAAATCACAGGAAAAGTTTTGTAGTTTGCCCGGCGCCTGGCAACTTGACCCGCCTGATGAACGTTCGACTTCCTCTCATTGCCTTGTAAAACAGAGTCATGTCCCAGATGTTTCCTCCAACAGTACACACGAACTTGGGGAGGGGGACAAACCCCCTTTCCTTGGATGGATCCAGGTCTGAACGCCTCATGTATCGCTGATTTATTCCCTTGATGGAAAGGCCCAAGCTGGGGTGGTTCGTCTGGGCTCGAACGCTTCCCACTTGACCGTATCAACCTTTCCCTTTGGTTTGATGGACACCTAGAATCAGCGCCATAGATTCCGTCCGTACTCAATAGAGAGGTTGCGCCAGTGCCTCGAGCTCGAGCGCAGTTTCGTTGTTCCAGTCTAACCCAATTGAGATGGGCGATGCTTTGCAGAAGCTGTCACCGAAGTTTACACGTGATTCCGCGTTGTGCTGTATATATGTAAAGTGCATGGATGGCCCTCTTCTCTGACGCAGTGACAGGATGCTCATGCACGGGGGCTCTATGGCTTGCTGTAATTGCCGCCAAAGCATATGATAGTCCAAGAGACTACACAAGAAACGCGCAACGTTGACAATGCATCAAACCATGGGTATCTATTGACCGACTTCCAGTACAGTGATGCTAATGCTAATGCTAATGCTAATGCTAATGCTAATGCTAACGTTAATGCTAATGCTGATGCTGATGCAGACCCCGTGCTATGCAAACAATGCATGGCCATATGAAAATAAAAAGAAATAACACAAAAGAATACAGAAGGGTAATTGCGAAGGAACCCGACGAATGGCCTCTGCCGGTACCTCATGATCCAGAAAACATAAATTCATGCACATCACATCACGACCAACAGCCACACGACAGCACAAAAACGCCAGGAAAATATAAACTCCGAATGCCACACCATTTTGAGCCCTGTCTATATGAGTTTTGTTGACACAGAATATCGAAATGCTCGCTAAATCGCTCGCAGGCTTGAGCAAAACACACACACACACACACACACCAAAAGAGAAGAACGAGAAGACGGCAAAACGCCTCTTCTGAAAATGCTTTCCAGGTTGGAAGCATAAAAACAAATATGCACGGGCATTATATCGTCATCATGGCCATCCCCTCGTGGTCATATCTGAATTAAATTGCTCGCTGAAGGAATCGAGAGACCAGTCGTAGACACAATGTAAACGTGTGAGGGATGAGCTCGGATGCGTCAGGTCTACCGAAGGGAGAGGACGTGGAAACACGGTAGCCGTTTCGTGGTACACCTCCAGGGTGGTTAATCATGGGTGGAGTAAAGGCTGTGATCCGCAAAGGGGACAGCAGCAAAGCTTCACTGTCTGCCAGAAAGTTCCCGGCTTTCGGTGTAGGGCAGGCCTAGTTTGCGGGGCTCGGACGGCCAGTCATTCGTCCATGCCGGATAGTTTGAAGTGATGGCTGCCGGAACCACTGTTCCCAGAGCGCTTCTTGAAACCCAGCTTCATTCCCATCTTCTTCCAAGGGTTGTCGGACCGCTTCGGGCTGTGACCGAGTTGCATACTATTGGGTTCACTCGAGGGTGGAGTCGTCGGTGGTGTCATCGGTTCACCTGCACTAACATTCGACTGCACGCTTCCTGAATCATCCGTTAAAGCGCTGCCCGATGCCGACTCCCCGCTAGCACTAGTGACATGACTTGATGTGCGATGACCCGCCTTGCTCAAGGATGAAGTCATCGCACTCAACGAGAAGTTCGACCGGGTGGGGTGGCCAATCGGGGACCCGACGGAGACCGGGGAGCCTAATTCCTTGGAGGAACGGGGCGATAAGCGGCGACCCTTCGAACGAACCCGCTTAACCGTGTGATCGTCGAGACTTGCATTGGAAACGACAGTGACATCCTCGTGCGGGAAGAGTGGCTCGGATAGGGGGAAGACGTGAGCAGCAGCGGCGTGAGCGTTCAGGAATGGGATGAAGATCGACTCTTCCATCAGGTCATGAACGAGTTTCACGGCAAGGTCCAGGATTTCGGGGGGTGGCGGGGGAGTTTGGTTCGCATATCGAAGAATATCTTCCCGGACTTCGCTGGAGACGTTGATCTCACGCGGAGAACCAGGGATGATGTAGGCTGTCAACAGTCGTTGCCAGAGCATGCGCAGGTGCTGGCTTTCGGGACATTCACTGGCAATGGGAGATTGATTCAATTGGCGACTAAGAGCGTTGTAGGTTTCGCGGTACCGCTTCGCCTCCAGGGTGAATTCGAGAGTCTCCAAGCAATGATTCTGGGAAAGATAGGCCATGAAGGCACTGAGGGTGTAGGGTGCAGGGGCAGTGTTCGCAAGCACCTCATCTAAAGAGGGACGCATGGGACAAAATGCGCCAGGGGGTACAGTCAGACTTAGCGGACGCGGACGGGGGGAGTCCATGTCCTCGTCCGACTCGCTATCCGATGAAGAGGTCGTCGGCGAGAGTTCAGGCGTCGTGGTGGGAGTGTGATGCCGGAAGAGAATGGGAGGATGTAAAGTCCTCTTCTTGAGCATCGCGTCCAGGGTGTAACAGGACTCGTGGGGTAAGATGACCGAGTGTAGCGACAGCCCTGGAATCCTCCCCGCACTGTAAAACAGTTGTGACAGGGAAGAATGGTTGTGTCCCGGGGGGAGGGTAACGGCTTGTCAATGGCTCGCTATCGGACTTGTCGAGGGTTCCAGTTTCCTAGGGTCCGTTCGTATTTTGGCAGAGCACCAGCTACCAGCCACTGGCGGATCAAGAACCAGGCTTGGTGATGAATGCGAGTACCGGCGGGTGAGAGCGGGAAGAACGGTGAATGGAATGAAAGGCAGCGGCAGCGGTGTCGGGTTGTGAGGCAGGCGGACGCGCTGAGTAAAAGAGAGGAGGGAGGAGGAAGACAATCCAGTGAGTAAGGATCTCAAGTTTGAGTAAGACTCAGTGAAAGAATGAGATCTGTTTCGCAGACAAAGGATTGATTAGTTTTGAGGGGAAGAATATTTGTGGTGACAGGGGGGGAGGGGGGGGTGTGTGAGGATGGATTGGAAGGAAGTGTAGAATTCCAGAAGGATTAAGGAAGGAAGGGAAAGGCAGGCAGGCAGCAGATAGACGGACAGACATACAGACAGCGAGCGAGAGAAGACAGGCAGACAGACAAACATGGACGAACACTAACTAATGAGATAATGAGATAAAGAATTTGAGGAGAACAGGAAAAATAATAATATGTGGAATTAAGGCCTGTACATCAATCAGTAGGGAATCACTAGGGGAAAGAAAAATCAGATTCGGGAAAAAAGAAATTTGGAAAAAATGAAAAATGAGAGAAAGAGGAAAGAGGAAGAAAATTAGAAATTTTGGAACCAAAAAGAGAGGAGGGGGGGAATGAAGTGAATTGGAGTGGAGTGGCAGAAGGGATGACGCCACAGGAAGAAAAGATCTGGATTGGATGGACTGTGGATCGAAGGAAGTGAGTTAAGACTCAAGAGAGGTTCGAGGACAAGATGAGGAGGGGGAGAGGCAATGAAACAAGGCAGAGAGAGAGAGAGAGAGACAGACAGACAGACAGACAGTTTTGCTGATCAATTTTTGTCAGGACGGGCTCCACTCCACAACTGGAACGCAACCACGTTGGCTGGCCAGGGATGGGGCTGACTGGCTAACTGGCGAACTGGCAAGTTAACTGGCTGGGCTGCCTTCCTCTCTCCCTCCAGCTCCTCCTCCCTCAAACCACAAATCAAGTGCAGACAAGACTTTTCCCACCCGGTCGATCGTAGTTTCATCCAATCGTTCCCCTCAAGGTGGGGTCAACACGCCGATTTCGCTCGATGATGGCACCTTCAATCAAGCAGAACCTTGAACCCCCGTTACTCTCAACCAGGCCAATGATCCAATCAATCCAAAAACCCAGTCAATGAGGTCTCAGATATGAGGAATAAGAATGGATGATAATCAAGTACATAGATGATACTCATACTGAATAGTACTGTACTCCGGGCAGATCACCAACAACATCTATGACCCATTGAACAGTAGTACTCAGTCTCCTCATACAATACGCAGTATTTGATGAAGCGAGAATCCTCTCTCAAGAAGCCCCACGATCGGGGTCAGTCGAGACCACTACGCGCCTGGGCAAGTAATGGTAATCATCATCATCATCATTAATGCAATGACGGAATCACGTCATGCTTCAGAGGACTGAAATGATTGTGGAATAGTCGAGAGGGACTGACGACCCGAAACTGGAACAGGATCTGGAAGCCTCAAAAGGTGGGGGGGAGGGGAACGGATCTTCGTCATTCAAAATCAGCTGTGGAGCCATCCATAGCGACCAACAACTTTGGAGTCTGTCTGTCCTTCGGATCTGAGAGATCGCTCTGCCGGTGCCAAAAGGGACGGACGGTTCGTCTCGGAGATGCAGAAGGGAACCGGGCAAGCAGACTGGTAGTGGAGACCAGCGCCTGTTTCGGCTTCGTCGAGTACTGAGTATGTTCTCGCCCTTCGGTGTGACTCGGTCCGATCCTTTGGACACACACACTCTCTCTCTTTCACCCCCACCAGCGCTTCCCGTTTCTCTATTGCTGTTCAAAGTGCAAAATAAACAGTGACGACGATGCTGTTCGGCTGACCCTTCGATCGATATCCGATTCACAATTCAACACCCATCAATGAGGAGAGTTGTGGATGTCGTGGAGCTGGAGGGGATGGGGATGGGAATGGGAATGGCGAGAAAGGCATGTGTGAAACAATGCGCGCACCGTGGTCGCAACAAGAAAACAAGCATTGAAAACACTTGACAAAAAAAAAAGGAAAAAAAGAAAACAAAAACCCCTCCCAAGAACGAAACAAAGAAGAATGGGAGATCAATAGAGAATAAGGAAGCAGCTATGTTCTAGAAAACATCCAATTAAAGGATCGTCTTTCACTTACTATGCGTGTTTTCCAGCTGCAAGAAGGAGAGAGCTCAGCAGTAAGCAAGGGGCAAAGAAGCAGCCCCCAACAACGCGCGTTCAAAGGTCAATATGACCAACGGTGCAGATGCAACGAGGATAAATCGCTCAGCCCTGGCCGAGGAAATATGATAGATCGCGGAGCTTATGTCGGTTGCAGTTGCGGAGCGGCAGATGTCTGGCGGTTGTTAATCTCGTACAGCACCGGGACAGGCCTGATGCGTGGAGGATTCAATTCTGAATGTTCTAAAAGAAGGGTCGGTTCTTAGACATGTTCTATCGCATGAGGCCAATTGACCAGAACTCAATTGAAAAGTAAGATGTGATATCAAACGCCCGCTGAACGGGGGAGGAGGGCCTCGGGCAGCTTTTTGTATGGACGACCTACTGCAGCAAAGCTCTGTCTGATCTCAAGCATCCATCCCATGAGGCTTGGCTGGAGCGGTTAGAAGTGGATTTGGAGGAAGGAACTTAAGGTGGCAAGTGTGCTAGTCTGGACTGGATTGGATCGTCGGGTACTGTAACGGGCAGACTCCGGCTGGACGTTGGAAGTACTGTACGGAGTGTACTCCGTACAGAGAGTATAACTATAACTATACCTGCCTCCCTCCCTCCTCTTTACGTGGCTCGCATCATATATACAATTACGGGGCATCTCAGTCAGTAGCGACTCGATTGTGCTATATTCCCTTTTCGATTACCGTAGATACTGATGTACGTACCATGTACAGTACATATATAGTACCTAAAACACATGGCGATCCTCCAGAAGGATTCCGCGATCCATTGCATCGGAAAATCAGGCCACGGACAAACATACATACATACATACATACATACATACATACATACATGTATACATGCATGCATGCATACATACATAGTACAATACACAAGGGCCAAGAAGCGTGTGCACCTGCCATCCCCATAACTAGTCCCTGCCTGTTGGCCTTGATTACGGACCTGGACCGGAGAGGCAGTTTCCGGTCGGTCGAGCGAGTCGACTCGACTCCTCGTTAGGCGCGCACGACGGCCTGACGACGGCCGGGTCTGTCCCCGCATTGATTGGCTCCAGCCGCGCAGGATCTGCATGATGCCAAGCAGGCTGTGCAGCCATAGGTCAGGTAAGGGGAAGGGCAGGAAGGACATACTCCCTGAAAGAGACGGACTGGAAGGCAACCTTGGACAGGAAGAATGGAGTGATAGAGGGAGGGAGAGGGAGAGAGCGCGTTGCTACTGACACCCAATTGTGCCAGGTTGAGCACGGGTTGATAGATCAGAATCGTCCTCGAGGCAGGCGGTCGATCATTTCGATGGTTGTTAACCCCCAGGAAGGGCTGGACTAAAGCACTCTCTCGTATCATCAGTTTGTTCATCATCATAAATAAGCTGGGTGGATCTACTACCCGAGCAAGACAAAGAGGTGCGACTTGAGAGACAGCCAGTCAAAATCCCGCAACCTCCGGAGCCGGCTTGCAACAAAGCTACAAACGAGACTGAAAGACGGGGTGGTGGTGGTGGTGGGTTTCCACACCAGCCCAACATCCCCCTGCCTGCAGCTAGCTACCTACCTAGCTAACTTAGAGACTTGGCCTACTCGTAGCTCTCCCCAGGCCAGTGTCGCCTTCCTACTGCAAGGGCCTGCAGGCTTGCAGGACCGTGTCTGTGTCACGGGGTGTAACATATACAGTCAATAGTACATACTACATACATGAATGTACAGTACATACTACGGAGTACCGTACATAAGACGTAGTTCGTCGAGGCGATTGAGAATTGTATTTGTTTTTTTTTTTTTTCGTTTCGAGGTGCCCAAAGTGGACATGTGATCCGACCATATGATTGCCGGGTAACATAGACTTCACCAACATGGTAGCATGGAGGTAGCATGGTAACATGGTAACATATATGAGTAGTAAAATGGAAATATGGGAACATGGATTTTCCAGAACCCAGCAGAAGAAGTAAAGAAATTTCGAGGAATGCTGGGTGTAAGGAGAGGGGCTAGCCCTATCCTACCTTGCGGCGCCAACTATGTAATCGGTCTAGAGGTGCAGTACTCACCAAGTTAACAGTTGTGACTACGACCTACAGATACGTAGACTAGGAGGGCGCTTTTTTCGGTCCTTCCGTACTGTACAGTACATAAGAAACACTCCCCCGCCCTTGACCAGCCAGTCAGACGGCGAGTAGCAACCTGCGATAGTCCTGAAAGCCGAGAGCTACTCCGTAGTGATGATGAAGGATTTCCGGCGCGACCAGAGGGTCCTCGCTCCTCAGGCTCCACCTTTCAATCTGTTTGGCGCGTCTGGCGAGCAAACAGCGAAACCAGTGGATCTGTTCCCTGTTTGGGTTTGGCGGCTATAGATAGTAGACACTTCAAGTATCTTGTCGATGGTACTCGTAGTAGAGGAATAAATAGTATGGATGGGAGGAATCAATTTCACCTGGTTGGGCAGGTCTCGAAAAAATGGATAGCCTTCACACACGTGATACGTATACTGTATCATCCCATCGGTTCATCCTGTTTGCAATCTGCAATCGGAGAGGAAGGCCTTTGTGTGTCTCGACGTTCGAATGTACGACCTGGACCGACCGGGCGTTGGTCGGACGAATACGTCAAGGCTACAGAGAAGCCACAGAGAATGTTCTATCGGGTGACACCGCAGGCGAAGACTTGGTCGTTGTAGCACAAGATCTGCAGCTGAAGCCTAGAGTCTACTGTAGAGGAATCCCGTAACTTAGAAACACATTGCGTTCCCAGCTAGGTCGATTATATTGAGTACTGGGCATGAAAGTACCGTACGTACTAGGTACAGAGTACGGAGTATCTGAGCGAGTAATGCAAAAGTGAGTGATTAATTGGGTTGAATTCTAAACTAGCCACACCTCCTCCCCTTCCCTTCACGTCATCTTGCCGATCATTTTGCAGGCGGTTGAACCTGGGGAAACTCTGTTAGTCTGACCGACTCGCACGCACACCCAGGTTCTTTCTTTGCGACTCAGTAACCTTTCTCCCCTCTTGCTGCAACTCAACGGTAGGTTAATTGCTCGTTTAAACTCTGGTCGATCTCTTGATGATCATCACACCCATGTTCTAGTGGACGTACTGCCGAACCAGACGGAGGGCCCGAAAAGTTTAAGTGGCTACCACAGCAAAGCCACATCAACTGATCCCCTGATCCCTCCGTGTGTAGTACTCCGTAGTGTGTACACAGTACGCAGTATCGTACTCTCATCCTCGTAGACAGGGTCTATGCAAGATCATCCCACAAAGAAAAATAGCCAGCCAAGGATCACAATCCAATCTTCCGGTTCTAGAATGAACATGGAAGCCCTTTTCTCGCCCGAATTTGCCACTCAGCAAGACCGGTGGCAGCCAAGCAGAGGTAGGATCTTAGAAAGGAGCACTTCCGACGTGACACAGGCACACTCACGCACGTCCTGCCCAAGACATTCCGGAATCCTCCGTACGGAGTAGATAAGAGGGATCTCTCTCTCTCTCTCTTCCAGAACATCAGAAGGTGGCGGCAAACGTTGCAACAACGCGCGGTTCCTTATCAGTTGATAGGTTAGCCACTGTAGGAGGAGTAAGCTTACTGGTTGTACACTAAGCCCTACCGGGTCAAGCGGTGACCGACCTCGGGACCACTTAACCGCAACCGGAACTATTCTTTATCAAGTGGCGACTCAGATTCTACCTACTCATACTCATACCTCTGCAGTCTTCTGTATATTTGACTGACATTTACTACCTATGAGTATGACTTCTATATAGTTAGTAGTAGCCAATCCAGTAGTCATTACTGTCCTAATCGACTGTTACACTACATAATTCCATAGAATTCCACACAGTGTGCAATCGCTACTACAGTTAAAAAAAAATAGATCCGTGGTCAGCCCACTTCAGCCACACACACACACACACAAAACCCGTGTATGAACGATTGTCGGCTCCATCCGCCCACCGAGTTGCTCAAAACGGTTCTGGCCAGATGATGCAGTGGCATCTGTCTAGAACTTTTGCGTAAAATTGGCAGCTCAAGTCAGCCTCGGCAATTCTGTGGATCTTCAATTGCCCTCGCCAGGCTACAAGAAAATCCATCATTCTTCGTTACTGACTATGTAGGCATTCATCAGGGCAATGTTCTCCTCCAGAAAAGAAAACGAGTCCCGCTCGCAGCCACGTGTAGACCTGTAAGCCCTCAATCCCATCGCTTCCCTAGCTTCGGTTGCATGCCACGTTATGAAGGGCCAGCTGTCAGGTCGGTCTGTCTTTTCACCGGTGGACTTTTGGTGTACTGTACGTACAGTACGAGTGTGGATTGGACGTGTATTCCGAGTTGTAACAACACCCACTCCGACACTCGATCTTTGGGTATAGTGTATACGTGTATAGCTTCATCCGGAGCCGAGATATACCCAGGATTCCCCATCCAGAGTCCCTTCCTTCCGAAGATCAAAAAGAAGAAAAGGAAGAAAAGGAAGGAATCCGAAGGGAAAGACCGAAAAAAGCGAAACAACCCATTGCCAAGCTTGAATCAACAAACAACAAGATCATCCCACATGCGGGGGAGCGGTGCCACAAGCTGCATATCATGATCTTTGGTCACATTACGACCTATGTAAGTATACTCCGTACGGTAGTAAGTCCAGCAGGGTAGTGAGTTGTTATTCCTCATTGTTGATGGGGATACGAAGGACGACCGACCATCCTTTGACGTCTGGTTCCAGGTGCGAAATCAAGTAGATCCACAATTCCTCCGCCGGTAATTGTCACATCCGCTCTCACACCCACATCCCTTGGACGGGGAGGGATGATCGTGACATACTTCAAACCCAGGATTCGTCACTCACCCATGAAGTAGTGAACCGGATTTCTGCAGGACAAGATACATAGAAAGTGTGGGAGGCTGAGTGATCAGCATATCTCCCGAACTATTACTACTATTCAGTATGCCAGTAAATTAAGTACAGTACTTCTATCTTAGTTGTTAGCATTAAGAAAAGAAAGAATGATCGGACAGTCACGCCCTGGTGGTATGATGTCTGCCTGTCATGCACAAACTGGTCTAGATTCTAGATTCTGCAGAGGGGGGGGGCGGGTTTGTTTCATTCTGGGAGAAATGGTGGGGAAACCATTCTCCTACAACCTACATCTCTTGTATAATACACAAGGGACACATATTATATCGTACACATCAACCACTACAGGGTCCAATGAGATTCTGAGGCTCAGTTTCAGCTGGGAGGAAGAAAACAACCTTCCAGCCCACCTAATCAGCGATGTCTTGACTATCCCCCCTCCCTACACTGGATACGGATAACGTGTTGTAGACGGTGGGCATTCCTGGATCCTCGATATGCCCTGCACCTCCCCACTGAATCATGTTTCAACCATCAACCATCATCAAGCAAGCAAGCAAATATGCTCCATGCCCAATGCGTACTTCCAAAACAGGTAATGCACCAAGTTCCCTGGGCACTGCAAAGAACAGTCGAATGGTCCATCACCACGACATACCTAGTGTATGCTTCTCAGCCAGCTCAATCGGGTCTTTCCCCGTAGCATCATTATCCCCCAGCCAAACCCCGCTGGCAGCCAAGTAGCAAACATTAACTGAATTTATAGCCCTGAATTGCGCAGAGTCTCAGTCCACTTCCCCCTCCGCCCTCCTTCACCATCAACTGGACTGGGAAGAGAAGCTGCTGACCATAGAGGATGAATCTCGGTTCAATGGCTACCTGAATACCATACCCTATAAGAAAGGGACTGAAAAATATCTCTCTTGTCCTATCAAACGTATCAAGGTTAGTCTAGACAGTTATCCTATCATGCGTTCATTTGGGCTTCTGCTTACGTGCATGTAATGAGGTAGATCCCCCCCCCCCCCCCCCCGGGGAGGTGGAGTTCATATCCAAGGAAAGCAAAAGCTCATCATCGAGATAGTCCATTGTTCGACTGCACACATCACACCAGCAGAGCAAGACTGCCTCAGATCAGGCAGATTGGGAGAGTTTATGAGCTGGGGCCCGACGGACGATCCACCACTTCGTTATTGAGGGGCCCCGAGTACCAGGCGCCTTTGCTTGCTCCATCCGAAACTTTCAAATCACGATCCCTGCATGAGAAATGTCCGGATGCGTGAAATAAACAAGTGACGGATGCTTGATGATTAGCCCGACCTCAACAGACCAGTATTCAAGGAGATATGTACCCAACAGGCATACACATAAATGGATTTATAGATTGATGGATAGTAGGTAAGTAGATGTAAATCCGCCCCAAGACCAGCAGTAACAACGAACCCGGTCTCCAGGGTCGAATAATGCAATGCAAGTACGCTCCGACAAGGATGATAGAAATCGACTCGGCTGAATTTTAGACTGGAGGGTGGTGATAGCAACAATGGCAGAGAAAATAAGCACAAGTGAAGAGGACGACGACAGAATCCAACTAGAGAGAGCTACCGTGAAGAAAGACAAGCACACACAGCCGTGCACGCACACACAGCTTACATTGGAGTCTGATATTCGGAACTTGAGACTCGGGTCCCCCAGTAGATGAGATAACAACAACAAACAACTAGAAAAGAGAAGAAAAAAAAAAAAAACAGCCACAGGCCGCCTGACTTGATCGCATGAACTCCTTTGACCGATGATGGGAGGGGACTTTCATCTGTCCTGCACAACATACCCCTCGATGAAGAGAATGCGCACGTAGTCAAACACATGGATAGATGCTAAAATGCGGTGTAAATAAAGCAGAATACTCCGACCCCTGTCGATCACGATGACAAAAAGCACACATGTGACTTCCATGCTGAAGATAACCCCGGTCTGCTGCACTCACTTTGTCGCGCCCCCTTCCTTATCATTAGAGATTACCACCAATAAACAGCGTCAGGTGAGCTCACACTGTGGCGAAGACGCGGGCGTTGGAAGTCGGGTTGTGATAGATAAGAGAGAGAGTGTGTGTGTGTGCATGTGGTCGAGCGAGGGGTGAACCGAGAGGTAGACAGCAGTGCGATCTTGTACTCTGATACAAGACAAGACGGAACTCTAGTATTAAAATGGTTCGTGACCGAAGATGCGAGACGAAAGACAAGAAAGAGAGAGCAAATCACTAATATAGTTCGCCGTTCCGAGCCGTAGCACCATCAAAGAGTGTTGGAAATGATGAGGGAAAGGAGGTTGAGAGGGCGTAGGAGAGTCGTTCTATCGGATGGGAGAGGGAATAGCGTCCCCCCCTCTTCGAGGCGAGAAGACAGAAAACTCTGGCACATGAGAAGAAGCGTGAGGTGTGTGAACTGAAGTGCTCAACAACCCCACCAGAACTCAAGGGATGCAGACATAAGAAAAGAAACACATATAGCCCTCTCTCCAGACCCAGGATCGTATTTTCCTCTGCCAGCAGCAGCAACGTCGGCATAGCCGAGCACGTACGATAGAATGGAATGGGAAGGAGGTGCTTGGGCTATTGCTCATGATGGTCGCATGCTGCCTGTCATACCTCCCTGGGATGTTGAAGACGGTGAATAACGAAAGAGAAAGTCGAGATGCCAACATGACAAGGATATTTCGTAGAAGTACAGAATCGCTCGCGTCCCGCTTTTTAACTCAACCTGGAGGGCGACCGGGAATAAGCATAGGAACCGCGACAAACGGAGAGACGAGGATCGTCACCTACCGCAGCAGAGCGCCTTCATCATCTTCTGCACGAATGTAGGCTGCGGCTCATTGTTCGCCGGACCACCGGGGCCTTGCTGGCTGGTCTTGGCCGGGTTTGCAGGGCTACCCATCTGTCCGGAAATGTTGGCATTCGAGTTCTGGAACTGCGCTTGAGTCGAAGCCGCTGGCGTGGCATCAAGGGCTCCGCTCTGACGCTTCGGGGCCATTCCTCCAGACACGCTTGGCCGATCGCGCGTCTTTCCAGCTCCAGGTTTTGCCGGAGATGGAGGCGGAGGCTGCGCCGCATTTAAACGATCAGCAGTCACTCCTGGTCGGCTACTCCGGAGCTGTTGAGCGTGAAGCTCCCGCGCGGATGAGTTTGGAAGGGTGTTGTTATGGAGATGCTGCTGGGATGAGTACGATTTGTACTCCCAGCCTCTACCATTGTTGAGCTTCATCCAGTCATATTCTCCATCTTCGACATCGCCAGTATTCTTGAGGGCCTGAGTCATCAGGTCCCGGAGGTAGTCGTAGTCGGGAGTATCTTCGAATCCGAGATTGCGGACATAGGTCAGGTATTTCGTGAACTCTTCTGTTCGTGGTATTAGTATTGTTTGGGAGGTAAGAAACTCGCAACAGTCATACCTGGGAAACCATCGCACAAATCCTTAATCGCAGTAGTCTGCTTCTTTTCGCCAATCTTCTCGTACTTTTGCTTGTTGGTGGCAGCCTTGAGACCCTGCCAGGGGAGTCCACCTCTCAGGAAATACAAGAAAACATGGCCGAGCGCCTCGAGATCATCACGGCGCGATTGTTCCCGTCCCAGGTGGGTGTTGATGCTCATGTAGCGGGCTGTGCCGGACAGCGATTTCCGCTCGCGATAAGGGATATGCTGCTTGGTCTTGGGATCTCTGTATTGCTTGGCCATTCCGAAATCGACAACGTGGATTACATTAGCGGCTTTGGTACTGGGGCGACCGATGAGGAAGTTGTCAGGCTTGATATCGCGATAGATCAAGTTCTTCTCGTGGATAGTTTGGACTCGAGACAGCTGTTGGAGGTATTAGAAATATGGAAAGTGGAGCGAACAACATGGAGCTCACCATCTGTTTGGCGACCATGACAACAGTCTTGATTGAGAACCGCCGGTTGCAGTGATCAAACAAATCCTCCAGACTGGGGCCAAGCAGGTCGATGACCAAGATATTGTGGAGGCCCTCCTGACCAAAGTAATAGACATTGGGAATGCCAGCTGCGCGGGATTAGCCCTGATTCTGAGCGGACGGACCAGGATAGACTTACGACACCCGACAAGGATCTTGTAGGTCCGATATTCATCACGAAGTTGCGGGGCATCACTCTTGCGGGGTTCCTGTTGATGATTAGCATCATGGAGGAAAACGACCTTGTGCACTGGTGCGCGGTGTCTCGTACAAATTTTATCGCCACCTGTTGGTTATTCAGGAGATTTGTTCCCTCGAAGATCACACCGAACGATCCTTCGCCGATCTTCTTCCCTACACGATAGTGAACACCGACGACATTGGATGATGAGGAGGCCATGGCTGCGGGAGTCGGACAAGTCTGGCAAGTCGGACAATGAAGGCGAGAGACCGCAGACAAGACAGAGATCGGATGTGGTGATCAGGGGACTTGAGAACTGACTTCACACATGAGGTTAGCCCGAGAGAATTGAACTGGTTGAGACAGTGAGAAAAGGAGACTGTCGGACAATAGGCAGAACAGGCAGTGATACGAGACAAGTGCTTGTCAGGGGAGAGGGAATGCGAAAAGGCGAAATTGATGATGGGTCCGGGGAGGTGTCTCACAACAAGCCCGATGTTTACCAAGCTCGACCCTGCATATGAAGATGGGACCCGGGGAACAGGGGTGACAAGATTGGGGCAGATACCGACTGCGGTGGAAGGCAGACGAAGGGCAGGGGACAGCTACTCGAGCGATCGCGAGGACGAGGATTCGAAGGTGGTGCCAAACGGTTGCAGGAGTACCCTCGGAAGAGGGGGGCAAGAGGGAGGCGGCGAAGCGGCGTCGAGCGAAGTTGGTTTGGTGGTGACGGGAGGGAAGAACCAGGGATTCCGGGGAGGGAGAGAGAAGAAGACAGACTGGGGGCTGCAGGCTGACTGACGGTTTAAAGATGCGTCGGTACGCGAAAGAGGAGGAATATATCCAGCGATGAGACACAGAGGCGATCAAGATAATCGAATAAAAAGAAAGATTCCAAGCAAATCCCCTTGAAATTGACCAAGCGCGTGGCAGTAGCAGCAGGGCCCGGATGGCGATGAGATGGATGGGAATTGAGAGGCCGAAGCCGTAGGAAAGGAAAGGATTGAGGAGATGGATGATATTGGAGGAATTGAGGACAGAGGTGAGCAGTGAACACACCAGGACTGGTATGAACCAACTACTGCTACGGCCTGCCTACCAGGGAAAGAAAGGGAAAAAAACGAAAGGGAGGAGGAGGAAGGAGGAGGAGTAGGAGGAGGAGAGTAGAAGACAGTGAGGAGAGGAGAAAAACGAGGCGGAGAGAAGAGGAAGCGGGAGAAAGAGGAGAGGAGAGACTAGAGGCTGAGTGAGGAGGAGCAAAGCTGTTGTTGCTGCTACTACTGCTACTACTACTGCTCCTCCTCATCCTCCCACTATACAATACCAGGGCCAATGCCCGTGTTAGTGCCAGTACAGTAAAATCAATGCCAGTGCTCACTCGCCCACTCACTCTTTCAGGCACTCCCTAAGTTACTAAGGTACCACTTTACTACCACTTGCTACTACAGAGGCGATGGATTGGTTTGGCTTGGTTTGGTTCAGGCCTGGTATGGCTCGGTCTGGTCGGTCCTGGTCTGGGTCCTTTTGGCTCCTTTTCTCTCTCTTCGATCCTTTCCTTCTCTTTCCCGTGATTTTTTGGGGGGGGTTCTTTTTTTTTTTTTGTATCTATGCTTTTATCATCTCCTATTCTTCTGTTGTATATACTTTCTTCTATCATGTACTTCTCCCTTTTCGTTGATGTGATTGAACTTGATTTGGTACGAATGGGGTAAATCTGTACTCCTACAGACTGATTGGATAGTAAAACAACAATGGACATAATGCTGCTGTTCTTGATCAAGCTTGGGTACGGATTCTGCCCCGTTTTTCTTTTTTTCTTTTTTTCTTTTTTTCTTTTTTTCTTTTTTTCCCTTCCCTTCCCTCTTTCCCACGCCCCCTGGTCGGTATGGTAACATCTGGTATGGAATACCGACTAGTGGAAACTAGCCGGGCGGTGATGGCGCCGATGGGCGATGATGGATGAAAGGGCCCCCAAGCGATAGGGGAGAAAGGGCGGTTATCGGACGGTTTCGGGGTATCAATTGTGTGTGTCACTATGGTGCCTCCTTCTCAACTTCAGGATTGGGGGGGGAGGGAGAGAGGCGATTGATTATTACTTTGAGACAGTGGGAATAAGCCATGCATGCATAGATGCATGCTTTGAACAATCCACATCCCGTCGGTAAGGTACCAGAGTAGAATGTTATGAGTCCAATCTGTTTATCCTAGAATTTTACATAGTTGTGGGATGGTTCTTGTTCTTGTCCTTGCTCTTGCATCAGTTCCTTGAAATCAATTGATCAACATCAACATCATCATCATCATCAGCGACAGCAAGCAACCGCAATATTAAACAGCCAGAACTACTTACTTAGTACTAGCTAAAACTGGGACGGGGCACACGGCAGGTTCCTCTCGCGCGTCTCCTGTTCTTCCCTCCTCCGGCCCCCTCCGCCCCTCTATAAACCAAATTAAGTTACCACTTGCTACCACTCAAGTAGATTAGGTACATCTCGGTAAGCTTCGAAGATTCTATTAGTCCATTTCAGAGGCCAGCAAGACCAAGAGACAGGCGGACGTTGACAGAAGAGAAGAAGAATTCCCATCCTCTTCCCCCCCCCCCCTCGATTCACAAGCATGAGTTTGAATCATTATTCTCGAGTACGGAGTAGATTTCGGAAGCTTCGCCCCGGGCACCAGGGGACGGAGTCACTAGCGGCGCCTCTAGGCCAAATTAGCTCTATATGGAGAAATGGCTCGACGAGATATTAACCCGTTAGACGCGCCACTGTCTCTCACTGGTCTGGTCTGCTCCCACACCCCCTCGGAGGGTTCTAGCCATCTTTGACGGCGAAAATGGCAAACAAGAGCAATTCTTCAGCAACTAGGTGTCGGCATGATGCCACCAGGAATGGGGGTTCGGGGATGGAAAAGGAAAACAATGTACAGGGGAGCAAGCGCAAACAACATTCATCTCAAGTGACTTTCCAGAATCTTAATTCCCTGCCGAACCAAACCTTACAGAAAGAGTTACTACAGTGACTGGATTCTACTTTTTCCTGCGGGCTTGACGCCCGTAATCATACCCGACAGAACTGGTACGGCTGGGGAATGAGGATAGACAGATGGATGGATACCTGTCCGTATTTAACAAGATTATGGAGAATTGGTTGGATTTAGTTACGTAGTGCCAGTGGGTGGGTTCAGTCGTTTATGTGCCTTAGTGCCAGGTACCTATCGATCGGTTATCCGATCAGTGAGTCTCGGAAGAGTGGTGAGTAGTTTATTATTATTGTCATTATTATTATTATTATTATTATTATTATCATTACCGTCTTAAATGAATCTTGATGAAATAGCGACCATCTATAATTGGTAAAGGACAAGCGCTATGCGCTCCGGAGAGCCGAGCCGTTGCTGGCAAGCAAAGAGAAAAAAGAGAGGAACGAATGGAAAACATGAAATGGATGATTACTCCGTAAGTAAAGTACACTAACTCCCTAGCTATACTGTAACTATATCGTGGTCCATGGCCTTTTCATATGTTTGTACATGCGGTATCCAATGCTCAGGGACAGATAAACATGTATTGTAGGCCAATCGCCTTGTTCAATAATGGGTACAGAAATGACCCGTCATTGTAGCTGTCAACCAGTAACTCACCAAGATCAAGTCGTTACTTTGTACAGATCCGTAAGCGCCAGATGTATAGTTAGTTATCTGAATGAGTTCCCCGACTTCAATTAATCAAGCCCTGAGGCGGTGATCGGTAAAAAAGCGATAGCTAGCCTAGACTAAGGGGAAGGAAGATTGGAGAACATGCCCAGTGGCTTGAATCTCACTGCGCTGGCAGCCTGGCACTGCACCCCTGACCAGTCCTGACTGCGCCCTGGGGGGCCACCACGCTTAGGGTCTGGAGCTACGACAGTCCCGGTTAGTCAAGAGGGGAAGCCGGTGGAGTTGCGACCTAAAATGGAGTCTCTTTTTAGTTTCTCCGTACGATACAGTACAAAACATGCATGCCAGTGTACTTATTCGATACTAGATATTAGCTCCGTACAGTGAATCCGTGATGACCTGTAAAAAGGTACCTAGTATCACTCCACAGTTACCAACCACACTAGATTAACTAGGTTGGGTTCGTGTGGAATACGAACTGGTCAACGGTACCTGAGCATCATCTCACGAGGCTCACTTACATACCAAGTACTTTAGGGCTCAAGATCTGAAAACCACGGCCATCGCGACGGGAAAGAACTGCCGACATCAAAGGTCTAGCGCAGTTGGAAGGATGTAACTCCTAGTCCTCCGGCTTCCAACAATACTTCCGACTTCATAGCAGAAGTGGCACACCTCAATTGATGATGGCGCGATGCATCTGACACATCCAGGATCCACAATTCATTGGGTGTCAACCCCCATTATCTGAAACGTCTCTTATGCAGTCTTGAAACGGCTTTCCCCATGTAAGATGCAATCCGACATGTGCAAAGCTCGGTCTCAATAAGCAGGACGGCCACCAGGTATCTAGATACTCTATGCTAGATAGGCGAAGGCACAGTCTATGACCGACACTCTCCACCGGGTTCTCCCCGCGTGCAGCTCGACTGTTGAACGTATCTGGCTAGTGCTGAGCGCAAGTCAATCGGGCCCGCGTTGCGCCGGCCTGGCTGTGGTAACAATCTAGATATCTATACAGGGTCCAACAAGCGAGCTCTTACAACTCTTCGGCAGGAACATCCTCGGCTTCACTGCCGAGCTCTTCCGCCACAAGATCGCGAGCATCATCCTCACCATCCTCATCCTCATCCTCATCATCGTCGTCGTCCTCGTCGTCTTCCTCGCTGCTGCCGCTGCCGCTTCCATCGTCACTGCTGCTGCCAGGGTCATAGTCCTCCTCATCCTCATCCTCTTGATCTTCAAGCTCACGTTGTGCCTTTTGCAACTCACTCTCTTCTTCTTCTGCTTCAGCAACCCCTTCTGCATTGGTAGTCGCATCATCTCCGGTCTTGGCACCGTTGACATTGTATCGTTTCGCACGACGGGCTTCTGCGAGACTAGCATCTTGCAGGCCGTGCTTTTTGATGTAGGTGTCAATTGCAGAGAAATTCGCCTGGTCGATCATGGAGAACTCAAGCTCATGGGTCTCGTCGCTGCCAGACGGACGGGCTAGGATGTTGAGATTGAATGTTCGCTGCAGGACAGATGTGTAGGAGATCGATTCAATGTTTTCGAAGGCGAAAAATATCAACGGCTTCTTGAAGCCGAACAGGATCCCGGTAGAAAGAAGGAAAAGATAACCTACAGTGAATCGCCGTTAGTCAAAAGAACAAGCCATACC